GTCTCTTTTAGGGGTTAAATTCAAAATTTCCGACGAGCATCCCTGTCCACTCCATATGGGAGTCCCCCCCCCCCCGGATATCGAACTGCGATATTCATTCGTTGTTCCCTGTTACCATTCCATACAGTCAGAAATACTTGTGTTTTTCGGCGCTAGTCACCGGTTTCATACTTGTACTTAGACTTAAATAGTCCATCGCCTTAAAGGCGCGATGGACTCATGGTTAGTGTGTTCGACTCCGGATCGAGCGGTCCGGGTTCGAGCCCTGGCCAGAGACATTGTGTGGTGTTCTTGGTGCCTATCTCCACCCAAGTGATTGAATGGTTACCGGCATCTCATCCAGGGGGAGTAGAAATACGCCTAGTTGCTTCATGCTACTGAAACCGGGATAAACTCCGGCCTGATGTGCCACTTGGCTGGTATGCAGACTTTACCTTTACCTTTAAAGTGTATCAGTGGTGATGAACGTGATATGAACATTTCCTTATTTCTGGATCGCGAATTAGCTATTTGATGTTGTGCACTAAGCCGGGTTAAATCAGTGGGTTTTTTCCTTCCAAAAAAATTTGACATGTTATTTGGTTAAGGAGAAATCTGAGAGGTGAATGTAAGCTTACAGAACTTCAACACTACTTTCCATCATCGATATTTTATTATCCATCACAAACATGTGTTGAACACATGGACAACTTCAACGGTAAAATACTTTTCTGTATCAATACGAATGTTTATAGTCCATAAAAATAGTAGCATACATCACATAGGACTTTCTAGACACTGAAAACACGTCATTTTTAGTCTCGACAGTCTAACAGGTATCAAAGGCTTGGGCAAGTGAGGTACTCATGTGTAAGCAAACTTGAAGGTAAACAGCTGTGTGATTCTCTTTATTACTCTCTTACTATGACACGGGTTAGAACGGTATTCAAATAAGTGTCCTAAAACAAAAACCTAAGGAACCACTCTAACCAATCACAAAGGACACAGACTACCCAAGGAACCAATCAAATTCAAAGTAAATACATGAAGCTGGCGCGAAGCGCGGGAAAACGTGTCAGAGCGAATCACGACTGGGTTTGGTTTTACCTCTGATTGGATGAAAACGTGGCGCGAAGTTTTTAACCAATCGTGTAGCGCAGTAATTCAAAACCAATTACTTTTTGCACTCAAGTGAAAACCGCTCTATAAGCTCCTATTAAAATCACCCTCTTTATTGTTTTTATTTAGTTTTTGAAATTTACTTTTGAATTGGATTCCATTTTGTTCGGAGTAGTAAATGTGACCTTTTGGTTTGATTTCTTAAACTTAAAACTTAAAAGACAGACATCAATGGTTTTAAAGTACCAAACACCCCCTACGCCTCCGCGCTATTCCCACCCTCCCCTCCTTGAACTAATATTATTAGTCTCAAAAAGCCGAGTTACATATACACAATGTACTTCTATAATTGACTTTACCCTTTACTCTCCTTTACTCTCAAAGCCGTGGTATCAGCATTCGAACAATCCGCCTCATATAGTTACTACTTGGGATAATTTTACTGTTAATTGTTTTTTTTTTTTTTTGGTAATTATCATGGCCTGCATGACTTTGTTTTGATCAATATTTTTAGATTGAATTCCAAGCTGCATAGGTTTTTATGACGTAGGAGGTGCCTCTAATTTCTCGCTATATGGAACGTCAGTAATAATTATGATACTGCCATAAAATAGTTACCTCATTTTTATAAATCCTTTTGCTGCAATAGAGTTCTTATAGTCGAAAAATTGTTACGATGTGGCGCAGAAAAAACCTATCCGTGCACTAAGATAGGTCCAAGACAAATATCAGCATTTTCTGGCAATGAAAGGCGGCTTAAGTTTCGAAATTTTAACACATTCATATGTGGTTTACTAAGCTAAACGAAAGCTCACCATTTCAAGTTCGTTCGCCTA